ATCTTTTTTTACGTCTTTGATTGGTTTCTTTTTCGGTATTGGTGTGACGTCAGCTAGTTTCCACATGTTTGGAAGTCGTTGTTCGCTGAAAGATGCGTTCAAGACTTTGCAGATAGGAAACGCAAGTAGGATGGCATATTCCTTCAGTAACCAATTTGGAATAGCGTCCGGACCACATGCTTTGCTTGGATCTAATTTAGATAACAGTTCGAATACGCTGTATTCCGATACTTCTAGGAACTCTGGTGAGTCCTCTAAGGGTATTGGGACAAGGGGGGCAGCCAGTCGGTAGTCCTGTAAGGGCTCGAGAAGCTCGTGGTTGAGGAAGTTTGCTAGGTCTTTCGGAGGGAGATTATTGAGATCGGCTACGTTAATCTGGCTACGTAGATCTCCTCTGTGCGAAGATGAACCACTTAGACGTTTGACTTCGCTCCACCATCTTTTGGGATCGTTATCTTTCAGATGTTGGATCTTGGACTCGTAGAACTTTGCTTTACAGCATTTACGTTTGCGATTTACTAGGTTTCTGTAGAATCTGTATTGAATTGAGCTTGCGCCAAATTGATGGTAATATTTTTGTCTCTTGATGATAAGAGACTTAAGTTCTGGCGTCATCCAGGGGGCGTCCTTGGTATGCAAGCGGACTCTTTCAAGGGGCATGATGATATCTAAGCCTGTTAATATGGCTTCTCTGAGTGCGCACTCAAGTTCGTCACAGGTTTCCAAAGATGTAAACAGGAGAGGCCAGTCGAAGGAGCTCAAGTACCGGCCAAGTTCCGCTCTACGACTAGGGCGTGTGTCTCTTCTAAGTATGTACTTGGTAGGGTTAGAACTCTTTACTCGATGTTTTTGAGTTACAAGTACAGTCTCGTGATCAGACAGGCCAAATGGCGGGAAGGTGATAGGATCGTTATAATATGCTGTAAGGTTTGTCATGATTAAGTCTAGAATGGCGTCTTTCCTTGTGGGTACTCTGACAATTTGTTTCAGCCGGAAGTGGTTAGTCAGGCTATTGGTATTGAACCGGTTGAAATCGCCACAAACGATAAGTGCGCAGCTGGGAAATCGGGCCTCAACCGTTGTTAATGTATCGAATAGGTGTTCACGAAGGCTATGGTCATTCGCACATGATTGCTGCGGGTGATAAACGATACACACAACAATGCTGGAGAATCCTCTTGGAAGGCGTTTGGGCGTTAACTGGACCCACAAAATTTCATGTTGATCGCAACATTTAATGTCGTTAAGACGCTGGTACTTAAAGTTATTGTCGTTTTTGACGTAGAGGCACACACCACCGTGCATGATGTTTTGTCTGTCTCGGCGGATGATGGTATAGCCAGGGATATCCACAACGCTGTCGGGAATCACATCCTTTAGCCAGGTTTCCGTGATACAGGCAAGATCGACTTCGTTTCGGTTGATAAATTCTTGTATTTCTACAATCTTCGGTTCGTGGGACATCACATTCGTGAGCATAATTTTAGGAACATAATGTTGTTTGATGTTAAGTGATTCTTGACCGTTTGTGATACCACTAAGGCCAGGGATGTTATTGTTTTGGTTAATAAGCTCTGAGGTGTTACTTTGAATATTTAATACGTCATCTGCAGGATTATGCAAATTTTGACCATGTTGAGAGTCTCGAGGAAACTCAGAATTTAAGGAAAAGATTGACACGGAATTTAAAGGAAAACCTTGAGAATTAAGCAAAGCAGCTTGGAGAGTAGCATTCTGTAAAGCAGTTTCAGGATGAGATGTTGTTTTAAGCTTTCTCGCACCGGCTCTACATCCTCGTTGTGTTGGCTTTGCAAGAAATCCCAAGACGGCACAACGAGCGCCAAATGTTTGAATCCAAGGATTTCTTCGTCAGAGAAGCAGATATTTCAAATAAAATGGATCTTGAGTATGTTAGTGCCATTAGCAATAGTGAAGAGGGTCACTAGATAGTGTAGTAACAAAGTATGATCGGGTAGATGGACGAGTGCTGCCTGTGAGGCGCTCACGCTCTACTATCTCTATAATTGTTTGATGTTGTTATTCGACTAAGCAAGAAAATGTATTACCACAACTTTTTCAATGAGAATACTACCAATATTAAAAATATTTGGAAAGGAATCAACTCCTTGATTATCAACAATAAAAAGTCTAATAAGCAAATAAATGCCCTTAAACTCTCAAATACTAATTCAATAACACAGGATAGTGATAAAATAGCCAACTYTATGAATAATCACTTTGTTTCAATTGGACAAAAACTTGCCGCTGAAGTCCCTGATTCTAGGTCACACTTTGGTGATTATCTCCAAGATGTTAATATGCCTAACTCCTTTTTCTTTACTCCAATCACAAAAGATGAAGTAGAACAACAGATATTTATGATGCCAATTAACAAGGCGTATGGACTCTATTCTTTCCCTGTCTCTATTTTGAAGTGCGCTAAACATCTACTGAGTAAACCTTTAGCCGACATTTATAATTAATCTATAACACAAGGTAAATATCCTTCCAAACTTAAAATATCTAAAGTAAAAACTATTTTCAAAGCTGACAATGAAAAAGATCCAAATAACTATAGACCTATCTCTCTATTGTC